AGCCAGCCAGGCCTGCTGGCTGCGGACACCTGGCTGGTGGGTCCCGGCTACCAGAGAACCGCGGGCGCTGCTCACGCCGGCCACGGTGACATCCATGTGTCTGTCACACACCAAGGCAGAGCCACACATCCTTCTCGCTGCTTCTCCCCCTCCGTCTGATGGTTATCTGCATCCTTTGCGCTAATAAACGGAAGCCGTGGGAATGCCAGCTGTCGGCTACGTGAATCATCCTCGAAAATCACCGAAACGAAGCCTGGTTTTGGCAACTCCCCAAGCTGGCGGTCGGCTCAGAAGCAAGGCCGTCCCGGGGGACGGTGTCCGCAGACGTCTGGCCCCCGCAAGTCACCCGGTGCCCTTCATGCCACAGCCTCGCCCTCACGACACCGATGACCCCATCCCCGTTTTGAGGAGGAGACGAAGGCGAGAACGAGGTGCAGACGGGTGGGAACCGTCTTATTTCCGGTCTAATGCTCTCCCACAGCCCTGAGCGACGCAGGCTTAAAAGCTGAAGGATCCGTTACCTACTGCTCCCGGAACTTGGTGGCTTAACACAACCCCGGTATTTGTTCACCGCCTGGGGGCCAGCGGCTTGGGCTCAGCTGGGCTGTTCTCCTGTCGGCACCTGGAGTCCCATGGCAGCTCCGAGGGGGCCAGGGCTGGTGCTGGTCCGTGGGCAGTGGCTCCTTGCAGGCCACCTCCACCTGGCATATCGGCGAGGCAAGAGGGTGCAAGCCCCAAGCACCAGTGGCCTGCCAGGGTCCCACTTAGTGATGTTTGTTGGCCAAGGCCATGCCGGCGAAGGCACGAACACGGGAGGCGCGGACACGGGAGGCGCGGACACAGGAGGCGAGGACACGGGAGGTGCGGACATGGGAGGCGTGGACACGGGCCGGGCCGTGGCCGTGACAGTTCTGATTCTGGGCTCACACAACGGGGGAAGATTTCGTGACGTCTGAAGGGGCGTCCTTTCGTCAGCCAGTAACCCCCTCGCGCCCTGGTGGGCACGGGCAGGGGCTGGACCGGATGATGGGCGTGGGCGTGGA